GTTATAGGAATTGGTCACTTTACATATGAAAACAACCTTAGTACATAGTCAAAACAAAAAAATAAAAAAGATGAAACCTATAACAAACTAACAGAAAAAACAAAACTTGTTTGACCACACTTGATGAATATGTGCCGAGTTAGTTGCAACTATATAAGTGCCAAATTGGACTAGCATATTGATAATTGTCTTTCAATTATAAACATTCATAAAAGTTGTTTTATGCACAATGGAGTGTTTTCATTCATAAACTGACTTGTTATAGGAATTGGTCACTTTACATATGAAAACAACCTTAGTACATAGTCAAAAAAAAAAAAAGAAGATGAAACCTATAACAAACTAACAGAAAAAACAAAACTTGTTTGACCACAAAACTCTTCATTACCATTTTGGCCTCAACTTCACTCAATGTCCGATACCAGCAATTCAACATCTTCCTGCTTAAATAGAATTGGCACGTAGTAACTTGGGTAGCTGCTAGAGCTTTGAGCCAGCCGTGTTTAAAGCCCTAGTTCTTAAACTTGAGAGTTTCGTTAGTGTACATTGTTGCTGCTTTCACCCCCTTCTCGAAGGCCTTACACGTCGTCAATTGCGCCTCTTCTATCACTTTTTTAGCCTCCAACAACTTGGCCTTGAGCTTCTCCAAGTCTTCCTTTGCGATTTTCAAGGCTACATTGGAAAGGTTTTCCATTTCTTCAGCAGAACGGCATAATAGGTCAGTATGTTATGCTTTTTCCTCTTTGGCAGCGACTTTTTGTCGTTCCTCGTTGGCCTTATTTTCTTCAGCCTTTGCCTTCTGTGATGTTACGGCAAGTTCAGTCATCACCGATCGTGCTTTGCCTTGTTTGGTCGCCATTTCTACCTTGAGCTGATTGATTAACTCTATTGCATCATAATGGCGGTGACCAATCTAGACAATTCGCTATGCAGCCTGCAAAAGTGGCAAAAGTTAGAATAGTCTTTAGAATTATACCAACGACTGCATTTGTTGACCTAACTCACTAGAATTGCCAATTAAATGGCCATAGCGATCGATACAACATCTTGTTTGGCACAAAATATTGCTTTGTCCAACGGAAGAGTAATGGTAGTAGCGATATTCGGCGCCACTCCAGGCTCTTTCATCGCCGAAGCACCTATTGGGATGAGCGATCCCTTTATCTTTGGTTGGATGGGAAACGACGCCATTAAGTCAAGAGTCGGTGACACTCTTGGTTTTTTTTTTTCAATCGGCTGCTCAATTGATTGAATGGACTCAGCGGGATGCTTGGAGCCCCTTTGATTAGCTTCAATTTTTTCAGTCACTAGCGTTGGAATTTGTTGTGCCAATTCGGTGAAGATAGAATGGGCGGTGACCTCTTCTGACTGGGTCACCACCGGTGGAGGACCTCTTGGTTAGCGCTAACAGTTTCAGCCACTCTTTTTTTTTTTTTTTTCTTTTTTTTCTTGCAGCTAATCTCTCGGTATTCATTTTCTTAGCAAATTAGGCCAATGAAAGTGTTTTCCCGTCTATTTCTTCGGTTCTGGATCCTGGAAGATAGTTCAAATCAAGAAAAATATCGGTTTCTTCCTGAGTGTTCTTAAGATCCACTCGAATAGGAGAAGGCACAAACTCCAGATCTTGGTTCAAGTGGCTGGTTTTCTCACTTTTAACTTCAATAGCCGAATCAAGTCTTGTGTTCTCGGTGATTTGATTCTTGACGTCCTAATTAGCTTGCTCAACTTCTTGATTGGCATTTTCTTTACCGTTCCTACTATATGATGATTCACCTACTCCTATGTCCCCCAAATTCACGTAATTTTCAAAAGCAAGTGTTAGTGAGCTGCCATTTGCCTTTGGGAATTGGAATGTGATCGGCAACGGTGAAGGAGAAGTAGGAAGGATAATATCTGAGTAGGATATGGGCAGGACGCCCTTGTCCTTGAAGGTTTTTTAGGCCAATGTAGTTAAGGACAGTCTTGACTTGGGCAAGAACGACCTTGTTCCCTGAGGTAATTGCTTTCTTGAGGTCATTACCTGCATAAATGAAATAGTTAACACTGAAACTACAAAGCCGAATAGAATTAAAACTAATTTGTAACTATTTGGCCATCTGGTTTGCCTTTTTGCCTAGGAATGGGGTCCCAGCGGTCCTCTTCCATGCCTAATTCCCAATTACCTCGGATGAGGACCATAACATCGTTCACCCTCTTTCCCGAACTGGCAAGCATAATCACCAGTTAGTGGTCGATATCTTTAGCCCTCAAGAAGAATCGCCCTTGCTGACCGGATATTTTGGCAATGGCATAGTAGTGCCGAATGAGAAGGATGCCTAGGTTTATGTTCAATTGGCGATTGAGTTCTACGATCCCCATGGATATTCGATAAAAATTGATATTTGGTTGGGAAGAATTAGCCCCTAGAATCGAACAATGGATCAGAGAAAGAGATGGATGAGAAAGCGCACTCCACCTTTGGCAATCGCCAATAGTAGAAGAATGATGATATTGATGTCAGCCTTTTCTAGGTTTACCACCACATCCATGATGAGTTCTAGTTGAACATCATTAGGGATTGCGTAGTGACAATGGAAAGAAGTGATTTTTCTCTAAAAAAGAAGAGCTTTCAGGTAGTTCGCCATGGGTGAATTGAAGGTAGAAATGCAACCTAGAGGGGGAGTAGAGTTGAAAAAACGCAAACTATGAGAATGAAATGAGAGAAAAGCTTAGAGAACTTACATGTATGAATGAAGAATGCTCAAGCGATGAAGACTGTGAAACAACTGCAACTGAAAGGGTAGAAATGAAGAGTTGTGAAAGTGGAGTCTTTTCAGAAGTAAAAGGGCAAAGATGAAGATTTTTTGAAATCGTAAGTCAGAAGTGGAATTAATTGTCTATCACACGCCCTGATTTCAAGGTGCATTAGGTATGAGCCAAGTTTACTACAATTAGTCGAATAAATTGGCCTAATAAAAGCCAAGCACACAGGCCACTTAGAATTTTAGTTAGCCAGGTACTCAGGGGGCAATTATGGGAGCTGAATAAATGGAATTGATAATCAGTAAACATGCCACATCCAAGCGCATCTTTGATGGGCTAGATTCAGCCAAAGCCAATTGGACTCAAACAAATCATTGTCGAGTAACTTCAAATGGGCTGAAGAACGTGCCGAGTGAAGGGTACCTAGACTCTATGTTTGGGTCGAGTATATCAGGGAAGTCGGCATGACAATACACTTTAAGTGGGCCCAAGTTGTCCTTTTCCAAAGGTGTAATAGGGAGATGGGCTCTAACATGGCAATGATCAAAAGCTACAAGAGAAAATATTTAGGGAAACGTCTATAAAAGGAAGGTAATGGTGAATAAGAAAGGTATGTTCTAATAACTTGCACTTTAAGAAATACAGAGACTCCTTCCTCTCTTCGAAAAAGACTAACTTGCTCGTCAGAGTACTAATTCCGGCACTCGCGATCGGAGTTTTTTCCTATTTCAAGCAACAGAACAAGGATCTTTCAAGGGCTTGTTTGGAGTGAATAAGTATCGCAAAACCACCCCTCACATGCAATCATACAAAATTCAGAACTCTACTTTCGAATTAACAATGAAATTCGGAAACCAAGTTCCAAAAATATATGAATATTTCGGAAGTTAATAGCCAAATTATTGCTTTTTATTTGGTAAATCATTATAAATATTCAAAGAAAAAAATTAGGGTCTTCAATGGAATGCCAATAGAATGGATTGCAAATAGATAACACATAAAAGATTTCGAAATGGATGGAAGATACTCACCTTTAACACTACAATGGAGGATCTTCAATGGAGTTGTCAAAATGTAGTGTCTTCAATGGAGATGTCAATGGGTTTTCAATGGAGTTGTCAATGGGTCTTCATTGCTTCTTCAATGGATCTTCATTGTTTCTTCAATGTTTACATCAGGTGTGTGGAAGGAGGGCTTTCAACCGAAATGGGTAAAGGTGTGTGGAAAGAGGGTTTATGTGGTATATGTACAAGGATATCAGTTAGGGTATAATTGAAATATCAAGCGTGCGCACTGAGAAATGATGTTTAGTGAGGTAAATAGGTGTGTGGAAATAGTATTTTCTCACGTTTGGGTTCGAATCCAAACCTAATTCTTCATTTAACCTTGAAAAAGTTTTTTTTTATATGCTTATTAATTTTGGACTGAAAAAAGAATAATTATTTTTTTCAAATATATTAGCAATTTCTGTTAACTTATTTTTCATTTCAAAATTAATTTTTTATTGAATATTTGTTTTTTTAATACTTTGCCTAAAAAAGAATAAATATTAACAATAGAATTCATTAAAGTCAAAATAAAAATGAAATTCAAAAATTAAAAGAAACTAAACTTAAAGGATAGCTCTTATTCTCAACAAATGGAAATTGGTGGTGTATCATATGCACATTTAGTTACTATCTTTGTATTATTTGGTTATGACTTACTGTGTTTTTAGTTATGACACATTATGATATTGGTTATGAAATTATTTTGATTATGATTCAAGAATTGTTTGGTTATATCTCATGTGATGTTTAATTATAACTCTATTTTTTTTTTTAAGTTATGACTTCCATAGTATTGAGTTATTCCATTTGTGATAATCAAACTTACAAATGACATAACTTGCATATAGTACTCACCCTTTGAGAGTGTACCATAGTATTACCCCTCAACAAATAATTAATTCTTCTTACAAAAGGTGAAGATCAAAAGAGTCATTAAAGGTTACATTGTAAGTATTTATAATTAGCATTTACATTATAAGAATAAATAATGAATTATTTGTTTTTTACATACATCTAGCTGCATTTATAACGTGTAGTAAATGCAGTTATAAATGCAGTTAGATGATCACTTATTAGCAAGACTCCTATAAATTTTGTCACAATTAAATAAGTTTTGTATTATTGATTAATTTTTTATTTTTTATTTTTAAATTTGTAACCTACATTTTAAGTTCTACTTAAGTTTTTAATTGATGGTAATTGCGATTATCAAAGGAGCTTAATGAATTTTTACTTAATATATTCAATTGGAAGTGTTGAATTACATTATCAAACATCACATTCGCTAGCATATTAATTACATTGGATAGAATTAGAGAATATATATGTGTTATGGTTATTGTTGCAGCCACTGATCTGCATCAATGAAAGACGCATTGAGGAAAGGAGAAACTTGTGTGTCATTCAGTCTTTGGGCATATGGCACCCTCAAAGTCATATTAGCTCCTGCACCTCCACACATGTACTCTCCATAGAAAACGGTCCTAAAAAAAAAAATTTAATTAAATTAAATTAAACCATGCATAAACAGAGAAGAAGAAGAAAAAGAATATATAATAATGGGTAATTTTAATTAATTACTGGTCTCTGGTGGGGTCATTGAAATCGTTCCATCCCTCAGGAGCAATGATATCAGTCATTTGTGTGTAAGCAAAGACCACTGTGGAGAAGGGCCTCCATGCTCTACCTAACCATATTCTTCCAGTCCCTCCCACACTGCAGTTCACAAATGAAAATCCGCTGTTTTCATCCTTTGAAGCTCTTCCATGCGCCGTTACTACTCCGTTTATCACCTTCGCCCCTAGTGCCACTGGGTTCGCAATCGAACTCAGCTGGCAACTCTGTATTCATTCATTCATTCGTTTCATTATCATTATAGCCAAAATTGCTCTAGTATTACCAAAGATAGAGAGAGATAAGCTGAGTATTATATATTACCTCATACAAGGACCTAGCATTGCCAAATATGAAGTCAATTGAACCTTGGATATAGCAATCTTTGAAGTAATGGCGACCCCTATCATCATGAAGGGTGTCTTGGGCTCCAAAGAATCCGCAACCCCAAAATGCAGCTTGGTCTCCTGCTATCCTAATCGCTACTGCTTGTGCTCCCACTGCTCCAGGGCTTGGAATCGGAGCTACATTCTACTCATTATTAATTAATTATATATGCTATCAGAACGAGAAAACAAAAAAATGGTACATAAATTTCATCAAGTCACAGAGAAATAAATGATTATCGATATATGATGTCTCATCACACACGCACCATGAAACTTATGTTCTTGGCAATAAAGTTTGCAGCAAAAATTTGAACTGAGCCACTATAAAAGGTGCCATGCGAAGAATTGGCAGTGTCGTTCCACACAATTGCAGTTGACAGGTATCCTTGTCCTTGAAATGTAATATTTGGTTTGGTTCTTGGAACAATCACTTTCTCACTGCAATTCATAAATAAAATTAATATATATATATATATAGGAAGGAAGGGAGATAGAAAGTAACAATTACATACAAGTATATGCCAGAGTTGATCCATATCATGGTTCTTTTATTCAGGGTGGGAACTCCTCCAACTACTGCATCCACGGCTGATTGGACAGTTGTATAGTTACAGCAGCCATTTGGATCAACGCAGAGAAATGAGGTAGTGTTGGTATCAGAAGGTGGTATATCAGGTGGAAAATCATCACAAATAGATCCTCCAACTCTTATTAGCTCCTTGAGGTTGTGCTTGAGGTTGTGGTGGCTCTGGCCGTAGAGGAGTTGGCTAATTGGTTCAAGAAGTGTGGTAATAATGGGTGGTGATGATGATGACAAGGTGGTCAAACCACTAAACAGATTATCAATGAGGTGGTGGTAGTAGTACTGGTATTCTTGCTTAAGCAATGAAGAGTTTGGACTTGGAGTTGTAATGTAATGTGTGGATGCCAAAGTCGCAAAAATGGCAATTACCAGAGTTAAAAACTTGCCTAGGATACTCATTTCTTGATTACTGGAGAAAAACTGTAGATGTGATTTTATATATATACATATCTTTTATTCATTTTTTTGAATTGAAGACTAGGATTTATAAATGAATTTAAAAAAAACAGGCACTTGAAGTGTAAGAATTGATAGCATGTCTTACAAACTACCTTGACTCTGTCTCTCTTTGTATACATACATATATTCATGGAAGAATGCCCAACATACCTACCAAACTTAAAAAGGTTGATGCTTAAAAAGGAGAATGCCGCTATAGGAAGTATGGAATTTCCAAGGATGGCAATGCAGATCTGAGAAATCATACAAGTTTGGAATTTATATGTAAAATTACTTTCACATAAGCATCCAGACCCCAAGCCTTCTTTTGCCTTTGCCACACAACCACATCAAGGCTTAAAATTTTTTGTTATTATATGTATATATATGCCAAATTTGATAATGAAGTATGCAATTCCCTGGAACTTGTACACTAAGCAGGCCTAAGAATTTGGCTGTTACCCAGTGGCGGCTCCAAGAAGTTTGGTCATGGTAAATATTCGAAAACTAAAATTAGAATTTATATAAAAGAAATCACACTCATCTATATATACCATCCATTTCCAATAAATCTCCTAATTTAGACTTCTCTTAAATCACAAACAAATTGTGGAGTTCTACAATTGCCGTCAACAAATCATATGACACCTACCTAATCTTGATGGAGCTTGAAGGCAGCTTTTCCAAAATTTAGTGTCCTAGTTCAACACAAGTCATAACCAAGAGAGCTATCTTTTGGATATTAACCCTTTTTTTTTATTTTTTTATTTTTAATATGAGGTAGTTTTTGTATGGGACAAAATTCACTTTTACTCCCTTATGGTTTAAACTCGAAGCATTTTATCCCATTATAGAAATCACACAAAAAAAAAAAAGAAAAAGAAAAAAGAATTTGGAAACGAATCTCAAAAAAATATGACAACATCTAAATTTGAATTATGATTTAATAATATAATTATCTATTTTTTTGATGTATATCTATCAAAATTTTAAATCACTTAATAGGACAAATTAATCAATTTTCAAATCTTATTTAAAGAATAATCTGATTAGTCATCCCAACTCCTAGACTTCGCGGGCACTGGCAGAGGAGCTAACGGATTGAGTTAGGTGAGGTCTAAGTTGTTAGAGGTAACATTCTCCCATTCCATAAATTTATTTGTTTTTTAATTTTATTTTTTCCCTGTGTAATTCTCTTTCTCTGCTGTTTATGTGTTTGTTTATAGGTTTGCATGGTAAAGAAGAATTATTGGTGATTATGGTTGCAATTGAAGTATCTATGTCTGTTTTATGCTAAGGATTTTGGTCAGATTTTGTTTTCTTCAATGAAGACATAAAATTGAAGCCAAAAAAAAAAAAAATGGGTATCAAATTTTTAATTTTTTATTGTCATTTTGTTTTATAGAAAATGTGAAAATTTATTGAGAATTCAAGATTTTACTATAACATTAGATTTTTGTATATCTAGGTAAATTTAAAACTTTTAAATATCATTGTGTTATTTATTTTTATCTTTTTCTATCCCATTATACCATTACTGCTATTTGTTAGTTTGTTAATTATAATTCAATTAATTGAAAATAAAAACTTAATATAATTTTTCATATATATTATAGTTAATTTGTTACAACTATAGTTGTATATAATAGCATAATATATAGGGATAATCTCTAAATATAATTTTTATGCTATTATAGACAACTAAATTTATTGATAATCTCTAATAATTTATGCTATAATTCTCATATAATTTATCAGATCACTGCCCTATTCTATTGAAGGAGGATGTAAGGGATTGGGGTCCCAAACCATTCAAGTTCTTAAACCCCTGGCTGTCACACCCTACATTTATGCCTGTAGTTAAACAGATTTGGGAAAACAATCAGGTGACAGGTTGGGCTGGGTTTAAACTCATGAGGAAACTGAAGGATTTAAGATCTCATTTAAGGGTGTGGAATAAGGAGGTGTTTAGCAATATCGACTCTCTTTTAAAGTCTACTGAGGAGGAGTTACATGATTGGGATTTGAAGGCAGAGTCTGGGTCTCTAGATGATGCAGGCATTAGAAGTAGAAGAAAAGTTAGAAGTCTGGTGTGGAAATTAAGCAGAGATAAGGCAAGGTTGTGGCATCAAAAGTCCAAGGTGCTGTAGGCTCGAAATGGTGATAAAAACACTAGGTTTTTCCACATTATGGCTTGCAGAAGACAGAGAAAGAACTTGTTAGACTTAGTGTGCGTGGAAGGGGTGTGCTTTGAGGATCTTGCTCAGATTAAATAGGCTATGGTGAGGCATTTTAGTAAGCAGTTTATGGAGAGTTGGTCTGCGAGGCCAAAGCTTTAGGGCCCTTTCAATGTTATTAACTTAGAGGCAACAGCTAACTTGGAAGCAGTGTTCACGGAAGATGAGATTTGGGTAGCTCTTCGAGATTGTGACGGGAACAAGGCCCCCGGTCCCGATGGTTTTAATTTGGCATGCATTAAAAAGTGTTGGCCTGTCATGAAAAGTGAGTTTGTTCAAATGTTTCATGAATTTCACACAAATGCTAAGCTATCATCTGGGATCAATAGCTCCTTTATTGTACTTATTCCTAAGAGGGATAGTCCTTCAGGATTGGGAGATTATAGGCCAATTAGCTTGGTCAGCTCCATCTACGAGATCTTGGCCTAGGTGCTGTCTAAAAGAATGAAGCCTCTCAGCTGTGATTAGTGAGGTGTAATCTGCGTTTGTAAGTGGTAGGCATATTTTAGATGGAGTGTTGATTGCCAATGAAGTTGTAGATGGGTGGCACAGAGCTAGGAAGAAGGGCATTATCTTGAAGTTGGATTTCGAGAAAGTCTATGATTCATTAAGTTGGTTTTTTTGTATCTATGTTGGAGAGTTTTGGCTTTGGGGCTAGGTGGATGAAGACTTGTATTTCAACAACTATGGTGTCTATATTAGTTAATGGTTCACCCATGGAGGAGTTTCAACCACAAAAAGGATTAAGGCAAGGTGACCCTCTATCTCCATTTTTGTTCATTATAGCAACTGAAGGCCTTAATCTTTTGTTGGGTAGGGCTATTGAGAAGGGCCTGTTTAAGGGAGCATCAGTAGACTCTAATCAGCTGGGCATCTCTCATCTTCAATTTGCAGATGACACCATCATTTTTTGTGAAAGAGGCATGGAGGAAGTCTTCAATATTAAAAGAGTTTTGAGGTGTTTTGAGGTGATCTCTGGTTTAAGAATAAACTTCCACAAAAGTATGGTAAGGTGACCCTCTATCTCCATTTTTGTTCATTATAGCAGCTGAAGGCCTTAATCTTTTGTTGGGTAGGGCTATTGAGAAGGGCCTGTTTAGGGGAGCATCAGTAGGCTCTGATCAGCTGGGCATCTCTCATCTTCAATTTGCAGATGACACCATCATTTTTTGCGAAGGAGGCATGGAGGAAGTCTTCAATATTAAAAGAGTTTTGAGGTGTTTTGAGGTGATCTCTGGTTTAAGAATAAACTTCCACAAAAGTATGGTTTGTGGGGTGAGTTATCATGAAGACCAGACTAAGGAGTTCGCTAAGGTGCTGAATTGTCTGCCTAATGAATTACCTATTAATTTTTTAGGCTTGCCTCTAGGGGCAAATCCTAGTAGAAAGAGCACTTGGGATCCAGTAGTGGTGAAATTTCAAAAGAAGCTCTCTTCTTGGAAAAGGAGATTGTTGTCTTATGCTGGTAGATTGACTTTGATCAAATCAGCCTTGTCTAATTTGCCTATCTACTTCCTGTCAATCTTTAAAATGCCAAAGGGGGTTGTAAAATCTATTTCGAAGATTCAAGCCAATTTTCTGTGTGGAAGTTCTGTTGATAGCAGAAAAGTGCACATGGTTAAGTGGATGGAGGTCATAAAAGGTAAGAATCAAGGAGGCTTGGGAGTTAGGGACTTAGGTGTGGTTAATGAATGCTTGTTGCTAAAGTGGTGGTGGAGGTATGGCAATGAGGATAAAGCCCTGTGGAAAGCAATGATCTGCTCTAGGTATGGCAAAGTTGGCGGCGGATGGTCTCCTTTATTGAATCAGCCAGTAGAGGTCTCATTGGTTTGGAAGGATATCTCACAATTTTCTATGGTTAATCAGCAAATGGGAGAATTTTTTGGCGAACAGGTTAAAATAATAGTTGGCAATGGGAGGAGGTTAAAGTTTTGGTATGACCCTTGGTTAGGTGGCAAAGGCTTGAAGGATGAATTTCCTAGATTGTTTAGCTTATCCACAGAGAAGGAGGATTCCTTGCAGCAGCTTAGTGCAAAGATTGGTGCCTCAGGTGGGTGGTAGCTTCAATTCAGAAGGACTCTCTTAGCTTGGGAAGAAGAGGATTTAAAGAGGCTGTTAGGCATGCTGCTCTTAACTTTTAGGCTCAGAGATGGTGATGAGGATTCCTGCTCCTAGTTAGCAGAGAAGACAGGTCAGTTTTCAGTTGCCTCTGTGTGGAGGTGGAGGGCTGCAACTGGTGGGAATGGCCTGGTAGTCCCAGCAGGGGTCTGGGTGAGATTGGCCCCTCTAAAGATGTAGTTTTTCTGTTGGTTGGCTTGGCGTGGCAGAGTTAAAACCTCATCTTACCTTCAAAGAATTGGGGCTCTTCGTTTGAGTGTTAGTAATTTGTGCGTTTTTTGCCAAGCTGAGATGGAAACTGTTGAGCATGTGCTACTGCTGTGTCCTCTGGTATGGAAGTGTTGGTCTCACATAGTAGAGTGGTGGGATCAGATTTGGGTTATTCCAGGTTCTATAGAAGGCCTGTTGCAGTGGTGGAATGGGGGCAGATACAAACTCAAGTCTTGGGTACTCAAAGTTTGGCAGATTATTCCCTCTGTAGTTTTATGGTCAGTATGGAGATTGAGAAACCAATGCTTATTTAAGGATGCTATTCCTGATCTCCAAGTTCTCTGTGAACAAGTTATGGTGCAGGTAGCTTTGTGGTCCAAATGGCATTTGAAGGTGGAGTATTCAGTCCATGATTTAGTGTCCAACCTCTATCAGATCAAATTGCAGTAAGGTTTAGCACTAC